AATTGCTCATATGCTTTATCTAAATCTTCCTCTCTGTAAACTGATTCCCAGTCTTGCCCCATAAAATCCTCTTTTAGCCTCCTTACAGCATGTTCGTTCATCACCCTCCTATAAAAAAGATTTGTTTTTGGCCTTTCTTTTCTATACTGGCAGTCATAAACCACAAATACTGGTAGATGATCACTAATATCATTTATAAGTAATCCACATTAACAGTGGATGAAATGCCAACAGCATGTTTTCAGCAGAACGACACAACAAGGAAAAAGCATAGTGGCACATTTAGCAGCTGAAGAGAGAGATTTCTCTCAGAAGTTAGTGCAAACCAAACCAGAGCTCAAAGTACAGTGAATATTATTCCCTTATCAGACATAGGAAATGTAACACTGCTGGTTTCATCAGTCTGTTAAAGCTTCATTGTGACACCCACGACCGTGACAAGAGAGCTGCGGTATGCACATGATATCAGTGACGCACAGTATTACGTACAAGGCCAGTGTTTTCTTACTAAAACATGGCCAGTGAATGAGAGTGTGTTCTAGGAATTTTTGTTAAACTCCATCTTCCAGTATGAAAATATAGCTGGATCAAACGTTACCACGTTCATGAAAGAGAATTTACTGAAGGACTGTTACGTCAGATTACATTAACTTTTTCTAATATATCTGCTATAAGCTGGCATCAGCATACTGACCGGGCTGATTGGTAAAGCTCTATTAGAAAGGATGAAAGAACTGATGAAGCCTCTTGGATGATAACTACGTCCAGATGATTTCTTCTACGTTTTTTTCAGCATACTACGACCTGAATGACTCAGAATTTGCACAGACTTTGTATGTATGGGTGAGCAAGTGATTAAGCGAGTAAGTGAGTGCACCTACAGGGCTGTTGAGGATCATGAGACACTGGTCGAAGTGGTGATGCTCCATGGTAGAGTGGCAGTAGAGCTGGGCCAGTGGGTGGTCGCTCCTAGACACACAACCACACAAGAGGTAAGAAACCCACAAAGAGCTACCATTTGCTCCAACACATGTATATGTATACTTACATATACATATACTTATATGACTGATGATCTCCCACTGTACCTCTGTATGTAGGAGTTGTTGACTCCTCTGTGGTCCAGGTCGTGGCAGAGAGTAGCAATCATCAAAGCCAAGACCTCCAGATCGTTCAGGTTATTCTGTTAGGGGAAGGATGGGTGAATGAAGAGAGGGAGGGACAAACTGCTGTACATCCACATAATAGCAGCAGGTTAACAGATGTCACTCTGTTGTTAAAAGCCTCATGGCTGTGTACACACTCTCAACGCACTGTGTGGGCACTCAGCACAAAGTGGATGTCTGTTTCTGCATGTGACACAGCTGCTTTTGTACCACAGCTAAAAACAAGGCTCCAGCATGGTTGATGTTTTACTGATATTTTCATGCTGGTGCTGCTAATCATTTATAATATTTCATGTGGAAATGACTGTTCCTGTGTCACTGAAACCTCCAATACTCTATTCTCCCAACACTTATTCCTGGTGGTGTAGGAGAGCCTATGAAACATTTTAACCATCCATTATAGGTCTTGTATAATTTAGTCCATTAGCTATAAATCATGTCAATTTAGCATTACTGCCAACCATTTTCCAATACACACATTACATGGCTCTATGTATTTATTCTTTGTTTGTTCAAAGTAATGTTATTGTTGCATGGGACTGCAGATGTAGGCAGGAGTTGCGGTGCATTCAGGGAAACCATTTGGCTTCTGAGAGTCAGCTACTGAACACTGGCTTTTCAGAGCAACGAATTCCAAAATGTAACTGTCCTCTTCACAGCACCATGTATTGTTTTTACTGTTCATATTTGAGGTTTAACTGCCCAGCAAGAGCAAATTAATTAAATGCTTCCCAGTAGCAAACTATTATAGTTGGATGTTGGAGTGTGTTTGATATGTTTTGGAAATGAGGTTCAGTAAAACATGAGTTGTAGTTAATGAACAAATTAAATGGGCTGCTCCTTTAAAACAAGGATAATAAATATAAACACATTGCCTGTCTGTGGGGAATCTAATCTATGATTGTCTTGAGCTGTCCATGAATCAGCTCAGCCTAATGTGTGACTTGCTGCACGGACCTGTAAGCGTCCCGACTTGAGGAGGGCAAACATGCACTGGGAGGTGTTCAAGGCATGTCTCCAATTGTGATAGACCACATTCTTCCTGTAGTTCTTCTTCACACTCAGGATCCATTGGCATAAATCCTGCAGAAGCAAGAGTGCAGAAGAAGATTTATTCAACCCTTGTGAATCATTTTCATTTTTAACCCCCACCTCCATTACCCCACTCTTAGTGCACTTAAGTTAGTGATTAGTTTGCAGTAACCACATTATGCTGACATTTACGCAGTGATTAAATAAAAAAAGGGCTTCATTGTAGAGAACCTGGCGCCTCTCAGGATTACATAATAATGCAGGTGGTACCTTAGAGGAAATTCCAGTGTTTTTCCACCTGGTTCATATTCTCAAAGGTGTGTCTACAGTATGGTGACTATGAGTCATGCAAACTTTGCATTTACTACTTCCATATGCAAAACAATATATACTTCTAAAGCTCTCCAACTAAACTGAGTCAGTCAGATGGAGTCTGAGTCTGACTGAAAGTAACACACAGTACACATCCAGCAAATATGGAGTAATTTTAGCATTATTTATCTTTCCATCCACTTGGCAAGTCCAATATTCACTCTCCATTTAGTTTTGTATTGGTCTCCACCACTGACTGTATAAAAGACAGTCTCACAGTTTCTATGAGTGAAGCCACCGTGAGTCGATCACCCCTGGTGGCTGATGTAGGTCATAATTCCTGCCCCCTCCATGTTTGCAGAGGACATGAGCCAAACTAAAAACTGAAAGAACAAATCAAAATTTTCCAAAAGGTGATTTCTGTCATGTTTGGTAGCTATTATCACGCTGATGTGTGTACAAATCGTCACTGTTCTGGTAAGTTTGTTTGTAATAAGTTATTCGATGATAAAAAAAAAAAGGCGTGTATTTCAGCTTTGTGATACGCCAGTCAGCTAGTCAGTCACTACTGCACAGAATTTAGTTGCAAAATTCCAAGATGGCAGCTGCTGTATTCACCATATTTTGGCTTAACTTTTGCATCGTGGCAGGAAGTGGTGATGCATCTTCCATATTTATATATAGTCAGTAGTCTTCATCAACTCTTAAGACAGAAGTTTGATTCTTTAGCTGCTTTGCAATTATGTTCACCTGCTAGACTCTCACTGTGGCTGTAGTGCACACTGGATTAATCAGAGCTTTTTCAGGGAAAATAGATGCCTGCTGCTGCTGCTGGGAACAAGGTTGATGAAAGCACTGAGACTGAACCG